GAGAACAATTTCATATAGTGGGTGGGTAGAGACTAGGGATGCTTCCAAACTTCATGCAATATATAGGACAGCCCTCTCACAGCAAAAGTTGGAAAATTGGAAAATTTCATTGACAATTTCAGAGCAAAAATATTGGGAGGAGATATCCTTTGAAAAACATACCTGGACACATGAATCACCACCACCTCTTTTTATTTTAATTTTTCAAGATATAGGGTCTTGCTATATTGTCCAGATTTGGGAGAAGTGGCACCATTATAGCCCTCTATAGCCTTGAACTCCTGGGCTCAAGGCATCCTCCTACCTCAGCCTCCCAAATAGCTAGAACTATAGGTGTGTGCCATCACATCCAGGTTTTTTTTTTTTTTTTTTTTTTTTTTTTTTTTTTTTTTTTTTGGAGAGAGAGGGATCTTGCTACTTTGCTCGGGCTGGTCTTAAACTCCTGGCCTTAAATGACCCTCCTGCTTTGATCTCCCAAAGTGCTAGGATTACAGGCATGAGCCACCACACCAGCTGCTCTCTCTTTTTCAGATCATCCGGGTAGGTGTGAGAGTTTCTAGATGGGTAGGTGGAATCCTAGACGGACAGCATGCAGTGTAACCACAGGGCTACAGTGCGGTGCTTGAAGTGCAAAACCAGTGCCTTGATTAGCCAGGTCACCCCAAAACATAGCTCACCCATGAGGAAAAAGTGGGGAGGGTAGACTTCCTTTTCTAGAGGAGAATTTATTCCCATTTTCTGAGCTTTTACTGCTTGAGGGAAATAGCCCATAAACTCAGGATGCTCAGATCCTAGTAACCAGGCAAGGGATGCTTTATGTTTCTGATCAAGCAGAGAAAATGCCATTTCAGCCCAGAGTCAGCACTTAGAGGGAACGCAATAATTTGAGAAGTTGATGGAGTGAGTTAGCTGCTGGGGAAAGACACCGGGTTTATAAACACTGACAAGACATGCTAGCATTGAGAGAGGGAAAGCACTTAGATTGGTGCACACAGGAACACACAGGGTAAAATGTGGCATAATATCTCCATTTTTAACATAAGTCTTACCCATCAGCTCACAAGAATAGCTGTCAGTGATGCAAGTCAATTGCCTTCCCTGAACATCTTTACAAACTTGAAAGATGCCTCTCAATTGAGTTGTTTGAAGTATGGTCCTGAGAAAAGACAAGGGAATCGTTCCCATAACCTGCAGGGACATCTTTTCACTAGAGGGTTTGGCAAGACTACCATGAGTTTAAAATAACAAAGTTAACGCTGAAAATCCACTTTATTATGTTTTGATTTCACAGAAAATGTGGACTTGTAAATAACAATAGTCCTTTGCAACAATCTGCGTGACACTTTTATTAGCTTGTGCAAGTGGGAGGTTTGGTTAAACAGAAATCCATGTGAATATCAGGGGGAAGAAAGCTACAGCTGGAACTACTATGATTTAGAAAAATAATAATCATGTTGGGTTTTGCAAACCACCTGTCACATTGCTGATCCCCAGAAAAATGTAAAGAACATTCTCATGGATGAGTGACAATTTTCTCTGCCTAGGTATGGAGAAGGTCAAAAGACGCATGGCTTAGCTGTCAGCTCGCACCAGTGGATTGCTTTTCAGAAGTTCAGTGCAGACCTGACAAAAGCTATTTACCAGCTTTGGAACTGGGGAGGTTTATTTGTTGAGTACAACTCTTGCTCTTAAGATAAGGAAACCCAAGTTGAAGTACAGTAAATAGACACAAAAGAATGGTTCTGGTCCATTGGACACTGCTCTGAGCCTTTATTTTGAGAGTCGGCAAGAGGAGAGCTGCATGTTTTTCAGCTGAGCGAGACAACAACAGCCCCAGGCCAGCTTTTAATAACCGAGAAGTAAGGATAATACCCTGGCGTGAACAAGCCGGCCAGGAGAGCGCATGCACGGTCATGTTGTCCGCTTCTGAGACAGCCCTGCTTTAGGTCTGTTAGATGTGAGCTTCCTTAATAAATTAATATGGCCTAGAAACGTTGACGAGAAACTGGATTTTCTGACTTTAAAGCTACCTTCTTTGAAAAAGAAATGCAATGCCTGATTTTTTTCAGACTTTGTAATAATTCCAGTTAAAAAAAGAATATAGTTGTGACCGTTTCAAAACACCTCTGGAAATTAATATTGGCTGCTTAAAACAGCTAAACAATAGGTGTGGACAATCTGAGCCATGGCCTGGGTCCCTGAGCCTGGTGGGCATGGCTCAGGAAGTAGGTGCTGGGTGTGGTGACAGGGAAGTGGCAGCAGGAAGAAGGGTAGGGGTTACCAACAAAAGCAGAAGAAACCACTGTCCCCCTCCCCCCTTTTTAAAGAGACTTAGTCTCACTCTGTTACTCAGGCTGGAGTACAGTGGCGCAATCTCTGCTCACTGCAACCTCCGCCTCCTGGGCTCACGTGATTCTCATGCCTCAGCCTCCTGAGTAGCTGGGATTACAGGTGCCTGCTACCATACCCGACTAATTTTTGTATTTTTAGTAGAGACAGAGTTTCACCATGTTGGCCAGGCTGATCTCAAATTCCTGACCTCAGGTGATCCACATGCCCCGGCCTCCCAAAATGCTGGGATTACAGGCGTGAGCTACTGTGCCTGGCCTGGAAAAAGCCATTACCCTTGATCACCAAGCTTGGACAGTCACCTGGCAAAAGTCACCAGGTTCTTTCCCTCTCACGTCCCTTCCCATCATCTGGCCCCACCCAGATGCCACAGGATAGATCCCTCTTTTCAGATGCTTAATTCAATCTGGTGACACCTGGCGAAGGGAGACCATATAGCATTCTGGGGTGTCCTATGCCTCTTCTGCTTCCATTCTGAGCCATCTGCAGTCCAGTAACTTGCCAGAGCCCTCCATCATCCCTGAGGGGCACAGAGCCAGAGCTTGGTGTGGTTGTGGCCCTGGCAACTAGGGTGATTGAGCTTAAGTCACTTGAGGGGATAAATTGGTCTCTTAAGGCAGAGCATTAACTCTTTCAGGCCATGGAGGGCTACCCGGGATGCCGAAACTGAATGCACATTGACAAAGTGTGTTCCAAGAATACAGACAGATATCAGTCAGCAACACACACCAACTTACAGAAGCAAATCTGTTAAAGAAAACAATTTATATGCTCAATCTCAGAGTCATGTGCAGATTATATCTTTATTGCAGAAAACTCCAGTGAACTAGTCTATGTTCTGTTGCAGGAACTTTTTTCAGATATTGTAGAAAATTAATAGACATTATCGTGGACCTAGAAAACTTCCATTTATAATAAGATTTTCATAAGGAGGAAATTTGTAAGGAGATTTCCCAGTTATTTTGTTTCGGCTAGTTCGTGCCATACAGTCCCCTTAAAAGCCTCAGATAATTCAGAGTTACGGTGTATTTCAGCTTCCTGGAATACTGGTCCTCTACCAAGCTCTAAGGCGAAGGAGCTTAAAATTACCTTCGTTTATTTTTTCATTTTTTCTCCAAATAATAGACATTTCCTTTCAGAAGTAAAAGCGGATAACAATATTTCATTCTCTCATTTTTCCCTCCTCAGTAGCAGGACCCATTGCCACTTGAGATGGTTGCCAGAGTCTCCCTTATGGATTAGGACAATTTATGTAGGTTTCTATGTGGATATGCTTCATCCCCTTGTTACTTACCAGGAGGGATATATCTCAGCATAGAAAGAATGTCAGATCGAAACCTCCCAGGCATTAAAAAAAAAAAAAAAAGAAAAGAAAAGAAAAGAAAAGAAAAAGCAAACACCCCAATGGAAGCTAAAATTATTTAAAATCCACTGAGTTAATTCTGGGAGAAACTAGTTCGATTTAATGGATAAAGTCCTACACTATCTCAGACACTCAGAGTGTGGTCCTATTTGTGATGGAGCACTGGGCAATAGCTGATATGTGCACTGATCCCTTTACCTCTCCTGGTCTCAATTTCCCCAAACTGAAGGGAGCTGGGATGTCTCCTAAGATCCTTTCCAATTCTGAACACAGCCTGGATTGATGATTTCACAGTTCATCTAGCAGGATGAAGGGCTGATGGCTGTAGGACCCCCATTAAAGTGCCTTCGCACTCTCACGAAGGCATGTACACCAAGCTCCAGTGTAACTGAACGTGAGCAGCTGCTCACATGCCTGGCCTCCTTCACACCAAGCTCAGAGCCGCTGCTGTCTTTCTACTGCTCCCACCTTCTGAATCCATAAAATAAAAGGAGGAAAGGGTCACTTTGGAAAAGTGAGACAATCATTTGGGGGGTTGGAAGGGAGGGAAAGGGTATGAATTCTGTCATTTTTAAGAGGGCTGGAGGCCAATGTCAACTATGACAAAGTACTCTAGTAGGTTGTTTTCCACAAGCCTCAGTTTAAATGACCTACTGCACAGTATGAAAGAATGAGGGAGTATCAACAGTTTGATACCAGATGCATGCAGCGAAGTATCCTGTTAACGTTGCACTGTACGGAAATCATATACAGAATAAGAGCCAAAGCTTTTAGGAGCACTAGAAGTAGCTATTTCATCTTTCTTTCATTTAATATAAAAAATGGTGCAGGCAGCCTCTCCATTTTCCCTGAATGTCATCTTTTGGTTGATAGCAGAAGCCAATGACTATTTGTATACCGATGCTCCCATAATTACAGCTGAATCCCTTAAATATAGTCTCCAAGTTATGATTTGTTTGCAATATAATATAGTGGGGTTACCAACTTTATAAGCAATGCTATGTGTCATTTGCTTTAGGCTACAGTATCACATCATCTTGTAAGAATCAAATAAATACAATTAAATATGACAGGTCTTTAAACTGGGCTTGAAGGGTGCTGGGCATTAGCTGACGGTGCACGTGGCTGACTTCTCTCAGACATCTGCTTATTGTAAGGCTGCCCCAGGCATGAGTTAGCTCTAGAAACCTCTCTGTCAGCATTTTAGTTCACCAATCTTGTATACCCAAAATTTTCATCCTTAACGTTATTTCAGTTATGAAATTCCACGGGTCACATGCATAACACCAGACAGGAATTTTATTCTCCCTTTTTTCTTCATCTGTACAGATATATTTCTCATATTCCATTCACTAAATTATTTTCTACCTAATCTTTACAGAATATTGCCAGACCATTCATCTTCTTTTTAATTCCCTCCAGGTTCTATGTGAGAAGGAAGTCTCATTCCCTAAAGACTTTTAATATTGAGGGGACAGTAATGCAAAGCAATCCCTTTCTGAGGGCTTTGCTCTTACAAAGATAAAACACACCATAGTATCAAAGGACACATGTCCCCACCTTGTTACATCAGATTTTAATATGGCAATAAATGCCTTAAAAATACACATTTTAAACTTAAAAATGTATTGAAAGCCATTCTTCTCCAGGTAATTACCAATTACCCCTAGGGGTGGTAGCTGTAAAATCACTTAATCAGACAAAAGTCGTGGTCTTTTCAAAAATCAAAGTTAAGTCAGTGGCAATTGATTCTGCTTTCTTTACTGTACCCATCAGAGAGAAGTGTGGAATTTCTTAATTAGGAGCATTTGTAGGTGGAAAGACATTGAGAAAGCTCCTTTTAGACACTCTTTTTTCTACCTGGCAACTGCTCTAGAATGAAGAAAAGTCAAGGTGGGTGGAGACAGTGGTCTGGACCCACCACCCTCCCGGTTGAATAGCCTGTCATGCTATTTCCAAAGAGAGCTCACCAGGAAGGGAGATGACCCCAGAATGCTGGGAGACAGATAGAATAGGGTAGGCTTTAGGTGCAGCATGCGGCCCCCTGTCCTGAGGCCCCCAGGGAGGAAGAGGGGGCTTCTGTTGAGACAAGGACCACATGCCTTAGGAAATATCCCCACAGAGAGAACCCGAAGGTCCAGTGTCCTTGCAGATCCAGTGGAGTCCTTGTAGAAGGGAAGGTGGATGGTGACCTCTGCTGGGATCATGTGGGGCTTGTCCAGTCAGCGCTCTTAGGTGCCTTGCATGTGTGCACATCCAGGGCTTCCAGGCAGTCCTGACAGCGCACGGCACAGCACCAGTGGAACTTACACCCACACTTGATCATCCGGGTGACATGGGAGGTGTCGTAGCCTCTTCCACAGCACATGACTTCACAGCTGTCCATGCCCCTGGAAGTCAGGTTGCACACGCGGCCTGCTGTACCCAGGGAGCCTGGAAGACAAGCCAGGGAGTGTTACTGAAAAAGTCTGGGTGGAATACAATGTGCCTCTAGAGGAGGAGTCACGAGGTCCATCCTCTAGGACAGAGGCCTGGCCCTCTCCCCACAGCCTGGGGCTGTGTTCTGTGGGCCCACGCCGTGTGTGCTAATCCCTCTGTGCCAGCTGCAGGGAGTGCAGTGGTCCTGAGAGGGTTAACATGAAACCCAGAAGGGTTAACATGAAACCTTGGATTTCCTTGGCCAACCTGAATCCAACTTCTGAGTTGGATCGACTTTTCAGATTATCCTTACCCAGCCTTGAATTTAAGGATCCTTGATTGAGCAGAGTCAGATCAGAATAAAAGGAGGATCTATCCTGGTTCTCTCTCCCTACCTCAAACCACAATAAGGAAGCAGTCACCCTAGTTAGCTCTCTTGAAATTTGTCAGGGCATGGAGCCCTCAAAGGGAGGGAATGCTATCTCCCTAGACCTGCTTATTAGAAAGAGAATAGCACTCTGGTTCTGAAGAGGAGGCATGGGCATCATTTGTGTGAGGCCCTGAGGAGGGAGAAGGGCCGGCCAGGTTTATCATATTAACTGTCTCCCCTGCTGCAGTCTAGCAGAGCATACAGATGTGTGTGAGGTCCTGGGTGAAGCCAGGATTCTACGCCTTCAATAGACGAAACTGGCATAGAAAATCTGCTAGGAATTACCAGTGGAACAATGTCTTAGTTAATCAGGGTGATGTTTGCTAACTGACAATCCATACTTAGGTATTTGTGTCTAAAAAAGAATTTTAAAGATAGAAAGGTTATTCATTTGCTCTACTCTTGGGGGAGCACTCAGAATTCTTTTATAAGCACATTATCAGACAACAAAACAAAACGTAGCAGACATTTTGGGAGGGTATGATGTGCTTATCATGATCCTTCCTACTTCCTCCTCCACAGCAACGAGCACCTGGCAGCCATGTTATGTAACATCACCCTGCTTGCTGGTGACAAATGATTGGACCAGGGGAAACCACCTGACTCGTGCTGGGCCAATCAGGTAAATTCCCTGGAGATTTGTGATTTTGACAGAGATGGTCGTTACGCCACTTAAAAACTCAGTTGCTGTTGGCAGCTGTACACCATGGTGAAGTGTGTGGACTCAAGGAGGTCCACAGAGAGATAGAAATGAAGCAAATGTACAGTGACAGTGAAGGCAAGACATGGAATGAGAATGCTCCTCAGATCCTGAATTATTTTTCTGGTTCTGCTTCCATTTCTCCCTGAGGCCTGGCTGCATTCTAACGTTTGAGTTCCTAGAGACTCTATCCTTATAAGAAGCTTCTCCTTGTGGCTTAAATTGTCCCAGTTTCTACTGCTTGCTATCAACAATCCTACCTAACTGACAAACCTAGAGAAGCTAAACTCTTATTTAAAAAAAAAAATTATATCAGGATGAAAAAGACAGTGACTTAATTCATTTTCAGTTTCTCCATCATTTAACTAGGAATGTCTTCCTCTTGATAGCTCTGACAACGCCTCGTGACTGTCTCTCTGTTTATCACAGTCCGCTCTGTGTTGGAATTATCTACAGAAATGTCACTTTACCCTGCCTGTTCAGGATGACCAGGGAAGCAGCGAGGTTCAAGCAGGGCGCGGGGTCAAGAAGAGAGGGTGGGGCAGCGCTTGGTCAGAATGATTGGCGGCGGAGAGCAGGAAGGCTGGCCGGGGAACTTCATGAGGACAGGAAGGATGGCAAAAGGCCGGGGTCAGGGTGGAGGGTGGGTCAGCCAGGGATGGCTCCGAGCATGCATCGTGCTGAAGAAGCATGGGGTGAGAAGAGGCAGCAGCTGAGCTTGGATTCCAGGCAGCCATCAGGACAGTCCTCAGAATTTACTGATTATGCAGAAAGGACTTGTTGCCAAATGCTGCCTCTTCACAGCACACCCATTATTTCATTCAGTAAACATTTCGGGAACAGAAACATCTGTAAGACACTGTGCCAGCTACTTGGGGTTTGGGGGACAAGGGAGAGTAAAATAAATAGGACCAAGTTCCTATTCTCAGTGAACCCACTATGTGGCACAGAGATAAACATGTAAAGAGATACTTCCACTACTTTGGGTTAATTGTTTCATTTGCTAAGGACCTACCATAACCCACAGTAGAGTCATGTGCAAAGCACCACAGCAAACAGAGCTCAGAGACAGTCAAATGAGGCTATTTAGAGCTTGGACAATCAGGGTTCAGATCCTAGATTTGCTATGTATCAACTGTGTGGCCTTGGGCAAGTTACCTAAACTTGCTAAGCTTCAGTTTCCTCCAGTGCAAAACTGGAATAAAAATAGTTCTTTCATCAGAGAGCTTTTGGTGAGAACAGAATGAGATAATGCATGACAATGCCTGGCATAAAATCAGTGCTCAATAAATGTTAACTATCCATGTATTGTCTAGAAAGTGTTTATTGAGTGACTACTATGTGCTAGGCAAAATTCTGGGAACCTGGGATATATCAGAGAACAAAACGAAGATCGTGCCCCGAGGAGCTTACTGTTCTAAGAGCATGAACCAAGCATCTGATAATAGTGACATTTCTTGGTATTGATAGTAACAGTAGCAAATAGGATCAGAAAAGGAGCCATCAGCTGTACAGTTTTACAGAGGCGGTAGCATTAGAGATAGGTGTAAAGGTTTGCTGATAAAAAATGGGGTAAACAGCATCCTGGGCAAGAGAGAACCTTCTGGCAATTCTGAGGGCAAGTTCACAAAAGACGGCTGATTCAGGGAGGGTATTAGGGACAATGAGCATAGAAAGGGAGGCTGGAGCAATAGGTTAAAGGGTCTGTTTTTGTTGTTGAGACAGGGTCTCACTCTGTCACCCAGGCTTGAGGGCAGTGGCACGAACATGGCTCACTGCAGACTTGACCTCCTGGGCTCCAGGGATTCTTCCACCTCAGCCTCTCAAGTAGCTGGAACTACAGGCGCACACCACCACTGTCTGGCTAATTTTTGTATCTTCTGTGGAGACAGGGCCTCACCATCTTGTCCAAGCTGGTCTCAAACTCCTGGGCTCAAGTGATCCTCCTTCTTTGACCCCTGCAAGTGCTGGGTTTACAGGCGTGAGCCACACACCTGGCCTAACAGGTCTTTATGCCATGCCACAGTTTGATTTTTAGTACAAGGTGGGCGGTGGGCCTGTCCAGACCTTTAATTCTGAAAACTATGTCGTGATGATAAGCCTGGAAGAACAGCTTAGGGCAGGGAGGAGGCCTGTTGGAATAGTCCAGGCAAGAGATACCGAGTGAAGAAACATGCAGGACAAATACGTGATTGGCTGAAGAGGATGAACCAGTAGAACTTGATGACTCATTGAATTAAGGAGTAGAGGGAGGGTCAAGTAGGAAAACTATAAAAATATGTTCATTTGGTGGCACAGCAAGGTGGTTACTGGCGCCCTCGACGAGAGCAGTTTCAGTGATACAGATGAGTGTGGGGGAGGAGGGGACACGGGGACAGCGAGTGTAGGTAAAGTTTTCAAGAGGCTTGGTGATGAAGAAGACGAAAGAGAGTAGAGCCGAGAGTGGCGATGAGGGCAAAGGTGGGACTGCACAATTGTTTTAAGTCATCATGGTTTTTGGTGGTCTGTTTTGCAGCAATAGGTATCTGCACAAGGTTTTCATTTCCAATTAGGTTTTCATTTACGTAAAGTACAAAAATGGGAAAAACTGGTCATTGCTATTAAAGTCAAGGAGGTGATTTCCCTTGGGGAATACAGAAAAAGAGCATGAGAGATGCCTCTGGAATACTGAGCACCTTCAGGTTCTTGATCTGGGCACAGATCATGTGGGTGTGTCCATTTGTGGAAATTCATTGTGCTGTACACATGGGATATGGGTATTTTCTGCACGCATTTCATGTTTCAGTAACAAGTTAAGAAGAAGGTGGTAGAGGAAGAAGAGAATGGAAGGGAGGAGGATGAAGAGAAGGAAGAGGGGAAGAAGAAGAAGGGAAAGAGGAAGGGGAGGAGGAAGATGAGGAGGAGGAAGAGGGGGAAGAGGAAAGAAGGGAGGAGGGGAAGGACGAGAAAGAAGAAAAAGGAGGAGAGGGAGGAAGATAAGGAGAAGGTGGTGGTGGCACGTGCCAAGGCCAGGAAATGAGCAAAGCTCTGCAGTGTGTGAGGAGCAGGAAAGTGGTTCCCCATGGCTGAAATATGGTACTTTAAGGGGAGAGGGTCAGGAGATGAGGTTGAAGTGGTGAGGTGAAGCTGCATCGGGAATGGCCAAGGGCTTTAAACTCAAACTTGAACTAAAGCCAACAGAATGCTATTAAGGGCTTTCACACAAAAGGGCAACCTGTTCTGATGTGTGTTTCAAAAGGATCTCCATGGGTGTGGGGCTGGAATGAAGTGGAGGGGGCTGGAGTGAGGACAAGGGACAAGTTAGAGACCAGTGAAGACTCTGGGCGTACAGGAGTGGCCTGGATTAAGACAGCGCTGGTGGGAATTAGAGCAGTTACTGGAGTCGAGAGAAGGTGAGGAGGCAGGAGCTGCGGGACATGGTGACTGGCTGGAGATTGTGGGGAGGATGAGAAAAGTCAAGGGGGTTTCTCAGGTTCTGGCCTGAGTGACTACTGGTGCTGTTAATTCCCTGACATGGGGGACACTTGGTTAGGGGCCCCTTAGAGAAAAGGTAATGAGTTTAGTTTTCAACATGTCGAGTTTGCTATGACTGTGGGTCATTCAGGTAGAAACATTTGCTGAAAATAACTCTCTGAGACTCAGGAGAGAGGTGGGGATGAAGACTCAGGTTTAGAAATCTTTGTACAGCAGTGGTAAGTGAAGCTATGGGTGTGAATGAGACCCCCCAGTGGGTGTGAAAAGTACTCTCACTTGGCCTCCCAGAAGTGACTCTCCATTTTTACTTTTTTGTTGCTGTTCATATGCCCTGAGCACCAGTAAATATTCTTCCCTTCCACTAACCTGCATTTATCAAAATGGGAATACAGTGCCATGCATTAGAATTCT